CCCCAAAACCCCAAAACCCCAAAACCCCAATATTCTAACCATAAACTGAAAAGTAATTATATATTTTAATGCTTAAAACCATGAGTATTAACAAAACTTAACTTTCTCAGTAAAAACCTCAATTAAACCCACAAGATTTCAATGCTTTAGACAAAAACTCGTTGTCTTCTTGCCGTCTTGAATATCTAGAACATCAGATCTGTTGACAACTCTTCTTCAAATCCTGAGAGCTGCCTAAGGTTTCAATAAGTCTTAAAAACAGCTCAGGGTTGTTTTCCCAGCCAGAGTATCTACTACAACTTAGGAGACTCAGATTTGTGATTTTGGTTCCTTTCAACGCCAATGACAGGTCAGCAGTTTTATCAAGTTTTAGGTGTCATAATGTAAACTTCAAACTTTTGACATGTCTAAAAGCCCTGAAGGTCCTTAGAAGTTCTTTATGGGTGAACTCAAAGAACATGAACTCAATCTGCCCTTGGATTTTATGACTTACGCTCAATATTTCTTTAAAATATGGTTTTATCTTGACTATATTACAATTGATGTTGATTCTTAATGATTCGATAGAACAAGGAATCAAACTTTTAGCAAACTTTGCCATTAATTTTGTATTCATAAGCTCTGATTCTATGAAAAATTTTGTATATTCTCAATCAAGAGGAAGATTAAATGATTTTACAAACTGACATTGGTTAGGAGTGGAAATGACAAACTCTGAAGGATCAGCTTCGGAATCTTTCCAAGAATAATTCGGTCTTGGCTCGGGTGCAATGTTTGCCAGCATAGTTTGAGTCATTTGTTTGCAAAACTTGTCATAATCTGCCTCAACTCTGAGTTGTCGTCAAACAGATGCTCTGCTTTGCAAGACTTTGTTGAAGTTGCGTGTTCTTGACTTGAAACAAGACTCCATTGCTTCTGAACAAACTTCACTGCTGGCTGAAATCAATTGCTTGGTTAGAGACTTTATGGCTGCTAAATGTTCGTTGAGTTTGCCTAGATGGTGACTATTTTTATTTGAAGGTTGCTTATCCTCATTCTTGTTCAATGCAACTTTATTTTTAACAATGAATTCTAATGATACAAAGACATGCTCTAATGTCTGTCATATTGCTTGCATGCTGTCATCTATTCTGAGCTTCTTGTTTGGTTCTATCGTTTGGACTAGATGATCTTGATTCTTGGTATCACTCTGCATGCTATCAAGCCCTGAAAACTCTTGTTTTATTTGTTTGACACACAACGAGCATATGACAAGTCCTTTGAAACAAAAGTATGATTGAGGATTGAAACTAAAGCAAGCCCGACACTTCTGACTACTTTCCATTAATATATATTAACTTTACAACTCCAACACTTAAACTCCTTATTGGGGTTTTGGGGTTTTGGGGTTTTGGGG